TCCTCCAGCACGACGATCCCCACATCCATAAATCACATGTAGGCCCCGAATGACATACTCATGAATCAATCATGTTCCTTACTGTTATGCACGATTACAGACTTGTAGCCTGAAATTAACCAAAACATGTTGGTTTTTGTAACTTATAGCGACAGAAAATGGACCAGGAACTCGTATCAACATTTACTCTTATATATTAACTTACATATTTATATATTATACTATATACTAAAAATAGGAAAGGTTTCTTGTTGAATTTTCTTAACACGTTGCAATGATGTGATACAATGTTGGTCAATCCTTACTAGTACATTGTGAGGAAATTAAAATATGCTAAGCAATAAAAAAATATGTTACAAGAACAGATTTTTCATGATTTAAACGGGTCTTTGCTTCTGTGTGGCACAAAGGCTACAGTAAATGTAAAACAAACACTCTAAACATGATCTAACATGTTTTATTTAAATCTGAAAAATAACATGTTGCAGCTACAATAATATGCCATGTAGATTACGACTGCCGTAACAATGTTATTTACAGCATTTTGTTTTGTTTTGTTTTTGACACATATATATGACAACAACAAAAAAAGCAGAGAATGAATTTCTGGTAAAACTGCAACAGATTTCTTTCAGTCACTGACCAGCAGCTTGAGGCAACATTTGGTGGTGAAGTAGTTAAATTTGATTATCTTTCATCTAAATGACACTTTACTCAGCATTTTTATATCTGATAATATCAGTTTTGCTTCTGCTGTAGTCACACTTTCTCATCTAATTCTCTGTATTATAAATGTTTATTACTGGCGCCACAGACTTCCTTTTTTTGGCATGTGAAAGAGCCTAATGTTGTTTCATTTATGACAACTGATTTGTTGGAGGAAAACATGACATGTCTGAGACATGAGCCAAACTAGAGGATTAAAATTAGGAAAGTGTTTCTTTTTAATTTACCCTCTTAAATTAAAAAGACATTTATTTGTTGTTCAATAAGTACAAAAAAGAAAAAAAAAAACGTTTCAGTGAAAGTTATGGACATGTTTGTTCAAGAAAGAAATATTGCATGCCAAGATTGAGTCATCGCAACACAAAAACACAGAAGAATAAATTGACGTTTCTAAAGCTTCAAGATTTAGTATCAAGATTTCAGCACATCAGAATCAAAGAGCTTTGCCTTGACTCGGTTTTGGATCGATAAAGGTTCATTGCAGTAGAGGATTAGATGCATATCTCCTTACTGACAATATGAGAAACTACATCAGAATTCGCAGCAGCAACACGGTGGGCAAAATGAATGAAATACATGAGGAGTTCAGACCGTAGAACATTTTAAAAACAAACTAAATAACAGGCGAACACACATAATGTTCCTGCTGTTTTCAGGCTATTTTTCCACCATCAAATGATAATAATGATAACTGCAATTCAGAAATTGCTGACGGACATCTTTGTCATCAACAAAATTGCATGTCTTTACATCAGGAGGTTAATTCTTACTAAATTCAAAAGTAAAACATATAGCCAAGCAAAATTAGGCTTGTACTTATTGATGTTTTATATCATTTAAAGGTAATAAAATGTGCGGAAATGCGTACAAACTTTTATTTTACTAATTTACTAATCTAATTTTCACCATGTAGAAACTGGCTTTCAGGAAAAATAAAGAAGTTAACTATAACATTCTTTTCTCACTAAGTTCTTCATTAAATTTTATTTTATTTTTTTGCCAGTCTTTAAGATTCATTGAAACGTTATGCCTTCCTCAGCGCTCTACTGTACATATTGGAGTTCATGATTGTGGTTGTCGAATAATAAGCAAGGAAATAATATGGAATAAAAAATAAGAAAGAGAGCCATGCTCCTTATTCTCCCGGTAGATTGCATGCAGCAGTGAGCTGCTGTGTGTCATTACTTTCTCCTTCCATATGAATACATGTGAATTTTTCTTGGAGATTATTTATCCTCCTTTTTTTTCTCCCTTTTTTTTCTGTCATTCCATTAGCTCCTCTGTCAGTTTATTCTATTTTCACATCAAAGGTTCGCTCGAACAGATGTTGTTTCAAACGCCTGTCTTCTGCCTCATTGCCTAAAAGTGAGGGGTGATTATTTTTTAATGAAACCGCATATCCTCACACGCATAAAAATATGAATATTACCTGTAATCTGCAAAATAGACAAGCAATGCTTTGGCATAACCCTGAGAGGGAACGTTCATTAATTTCAGGAACACCTCAAAAGCCATTTTGAAGTTGTTGTTTTTTTTTTTTTTGTTTTTTTTTTCTGTAGCTGGCAAATGTGCTCCCAAACCTTGAATTTTGATTAGTTAATTTCATGCAGTTTGTGTTTGGCAAATGCTTTCCTGAAACAATGTCGTTCTCAGAGGCAGTCCTGTGTTTCAGATGACAGTTAATGGGAGAAAACAAGGTTGTTACTTAATCTCGTGATGGAAATGAATGTTTCTAAATGTCATCTTGTTGCATTTTGGTACATGTGTGGGTAAATATTTTTTTTTCTACGATTTGGCGAAACGCGTTCTTCTTTGTTTGAAATTTTTTAAATCCTGGATCAGAGGAGCAGGAGAGGAAATATCCTTCTTTTTACTATCACTCACACAGAATGCTTGAAGTAATGGAGGTTTCTTTAGTGCCATTGCAACATTTTATCAATTAACTTTCTTCAAAACAACAAATCCACTCGCGTATTTCTTACTTCAGAATAAGACAAGATAATACAAGCTGTCAAGCTGTTGAAAGAACCACAAACGGCTCCTGAAGCCGGAGCACGTTGCGCAGCTTCTAAGTTTCAAAACCAACATGGCTGCAGTGCATTACGGAATATAATTCTGGTGTCAACTATTGGCGAATCACCCCGTTTCCAAATTATAAAGAGAATGCTTTAAACATAAAGCACTGACTTACATATATTTGACAATATTGTGGTATTTTACTAATGTGAAATTTCAGGTCACAAGACCTTGTTACAACTCTAATCTATATTATTTTTATATCATTTGTCCTATGCATGTCTTTTTAGTGACAAAAAAAAAAAAATTCTCCTCATAATGGCAAGCTTTTCCCTTCATCTCGCTGTCTTTCTCCTCCTCTTTCGCATTCCATCCTTTACTTCACTTGGTTTCTCCAGAGCACACGAGGCAATTTCCATACAGAATCACAAGCAGAATCAGGTGACCTGGATTTGACTCCCAGTCAAAACTCTACCTGGAAATGAAAATGTATTCATGTGTATTGGATGAAGCAGCACATTACTCCGATGGAAGTAGTTCTGCTTTATGAAAATGTGGAGACATTTCAGCATACTGTGTTATTGCTGATATCGCGTGCACAAAGACGAGCATGAACGTGATCTTTCTCTCTTTGTGTTTTGTCGTTGTGTGTTTTTGTATCCATAATTGTTCACGTGATACACAACCTTTCCTCTATCATCTTATCTTGCATCTTTATTTGTCAAACATTTAAGATTAAATGTGTGCAAGTTTGTGAGTTTTTATTTTTTTTTCACTTTGAGGTAGTCCATTACTCTCTTATTTTATTTATAAAACCAATTATCAAATGAATACAAACAAAACAAAGACAAGCAAAAGAACAAAAAGCTGTCAGAGCCTTACAATACCAGAAAGAAAACCTGCAAAATTTAATTGGAAAAAAATCATTTTAAGTCCATGTGTACAACAACACAGCTAAGCAATGCCCGTGGATTACACTCTGTCAATCAGGAAGAAAGAAGTAGTGTCCGCCATGTCCAAGAGTGCAATCAGACCTGCGTTGTTTATGGTTGTTTAAGCCTAGACAGGATTTTTTTAGCTAAGGGAAAATGTATCAAAATTCTGTGTTGTTTCGTCTTTGGACAACATCCAAATTTTACCTAAACAAAGACGCTGCAAAGTCAGGAATTGCTATGTCCATTCAATCGACCCTAACCACTTTTCAACTGCATTAAAACACCAATAAATGGAGTTATGTAGAAATATGTTCACCTTTTGCTTTTCAAGCACATTTTACAAGTTGCTTCGATGGAAGGCGGTATGATCTTTTCTATGTGAACTCTACAAAATCTTGCTCTGGAGGCGAGGTAGATACAATCCAGAAAAAAAAAACATGGCAAGAGCAGTGTGACACAATCTGATTCAGAATTCAAAGTAATCCACTCACCAAAGTGGAAAGGCAAAAATAAATAAATAAAAATATAACCTTGTGAAATCTTCTGTTCAGAAGATCACAAAAACAGGAGATGGGTGTGCAGGGTGGCCCGTGCAGGAGACACAATCTGCTTAGTTTATTGTTGAGCAGCTTAAAAATAAAAAAATCACAACATGTAATTATTTTGTTTTGTTTTTTCCTATTACCCATGACTTTCAAATTCAAAATTTTAGGCGAAGTGGCAACAAAAAGTTGGTCACCACAGCTCTAGGTGGAGAAAGGAGATGATATTTGTTAGCGACGGCTTAAAATTTGGTGTGGAAATTGGTTTCCGTCTTCTTAAAATAAGCCTTTGTTCCAGTCTGTTGTAGTGCTGAGGGAAAAGCCAGAGTGCGGAGCGGTCCTAAAAATAACAAGATAAATGTCTGGGGATCTGTGTCATTAATATGCGGGGACGAAAGAACTGATTTTACTGTACCAAACCCGATAAATTTAGCCCAAGGCACAGTTTATAATCCCTATATTACACTTTTACTTCAATTACAGGTCCAGCAGTCTTCAAAGCAACCAGTTGAGGTGGAAATCAGACTAAGTGCTATGACTGGCATCATGGTTCTGGTTAGGATTGAGTTGTGTTGTAGTTGTGTTCAGAATAGGCATTGTTCCTAATGGCACTGGTCTGAATGTTTACACATATTCACTGATAACATCATACTTATTGATTACATGTGTGTATATACTGTACGTGTGTGTTTTTGCAAAGTCAGAAAAACTTTTCTCATCCAGTCCGCATCATCAGCAGAAGGTTCTAACCGGTTGTCTCTTTGTTCCTCTCCGCCTCCAGATAAGCAACGAGAAGCGGAGCGCGGCAGAAATGATGAAGCCCAAGCCCAAACCTCAGAAGAAGAAAAAGAAGAAGGACCCCAATGAGCCACAGAAGCCCGTGTCGGCGTACGCGCTCTTCTTCAGAGACACCCAGGCTGCCATCAAAGGCCAAAACCCCAACGCCACTTTTGGAGATGTCTCCAAGATCGTGGCCTCCATGTGGGACAGCCTCGGGGAGGAACAGAAGCAGGTACACAAAAAATGTGCATGTGGAGGAACGAATTAGAGGGCCGAGACACACCGGGGCGTCCAAAACAGAACTTGAAACTCATTGACAACAGTGACACTGTAAAGCCGAAACCAAATAGTGAACATGGACACTTCTATAAGCACTAAGCTGCATTCCTACAACATAATATACTGAAATGTATTACAATTGTATGTAATTGCCTCTCAAGAAGCCAGTTCTCTGCTGTTGACTGGTTTTCTTTTAAAGTTTATCAAAATAATTGGTACGTAGGTGTTGGAGACGTCTCTAAGAACTTGCTATGATTCCTCTGGGAATATAGGCTGTCTCGCTGTCTTCTGTCTATGAATTTAATGCCAGACTGACTCAATGATGTTGTAATAAGGGCTCAGAGGGAGCTTAACCATCTGCTGCAGGACTCCTTTTTCTTCTTGTCATAGAAGAGCCTGCAGTTGTCTCTAACTGCAATTGTACGTTGGATTTCTATTCTACCTCAGAAAGGATTAAAAATCTTTTCATTATTTATTTGTTTATTTTAGGAAGGATTAAACGCTAAACGTCCAAATTTTTAGAAACCTAGATTGTAAACTTAATGCCTGGGTGTCGTCTGACAGGATGCTGATCAAGCAGATGAACGAGAAAGCATTATGGAAATATAGGCTTCAAATTACGAACATTAAAGTAGAAGTACGAATAATGATTAGTGCAGAAATTCGGAGGCTCGCTCAGATTCAGAGACATCAGACAGTGTCGGAGTTTGTAGAATAATCCTGCAAATGTTCACATCACAGCCTGCATAAATATTAATATTTCATGTGCAGTTTTTTTTTTTTTTTTTTTTTCACTTAAATCTCGCAGATCTAATACTTTCTCTGTTCTGGGAAAAAAAAAAAAAGGTGTCTGTGTGGCACAAATTGCCTGCTATGCACCCATTATCAAGTTTTGAAGCCCACAAACGCATGCTGTGTTTAAGTGCAAATGGAAGACTGTCACGTCTGGGCTTTATGTAGAGCCACGCATAATTCTGAAGTGAAAGCGACTTTTTTCTAAATAGACAGGGAAAAAAAATGATCATGTCTTGATTGCAACTGAAGTATGAAGAAAAATAAAAAATACAACCACAGGGTTCAGGTATGCTTATATGAGGCATGATGTACCTAATTGAATTGGTTCTAAATGTATTGGTTCAGCTGGTAAAGCTGAACCCAAATAAACTCACCAAAATACCCTTATTTAACTGCCTACATATTCAGGTTCCTCCCACCAGTAGGTGGCGTGCGCCACAACAAACGAGCAGCCCCTTTTTGTTGTCATTATCTTTTGTGTAATTACCTGAACGTTGCTGTGAGTTACAGCTCATCTTAATGAGCTAGTTCTTCTCTTTCTAAAGATAATCCATCCGTTTATCCCCGCTCCCCTGACTCTCATTAAAATGATTTTCTTTCTAAATTTAATTCTACCAAAGGGAGGGAGCGGCAGGGCTGGAGGAGGGGCTCCGTGCACCGACAGCAATAAAACAGTCCGAGACTAACAACCCAGGACGTTTTACAAGCCTGAAACGGTCAATGTGGGGAAAATATAAACAGGCCTTGGGAGATTTCAGCAGACAAGGAATGATATGTTTTGCGCTGGGTAAATATGCTCATAAGCCAAACGCTAATGCATCCTGCGAAAGCAAACAATCACATATGAAAGAGGAAAAAGAAAAAATCTGTAATCTCACTGCAGCTCTGTTTGCTTCAAACAATCACAAAACAGGGATGTCTTACGAGGTTTTAACACGAAAACCAGCTCAAATATGAAGGGAAAAAAAAGCAAAAGGCCAATATACGTTCCATTTCCTTTCCCCCCCTCTCGCCTCTGTGACGGATATCTCCCCGCCATGCATCTTCATTGGCCCTCTGACAAGCTGCAATGTGTGAATTTTTCTTTTCCTCTCTTTATTTATATTTCTCGCCTGCTATTTTGATCCTGCTTGGAATACACAAATAGTGACCCCATCCCCTCCCCTCAACTATGTTTTTTTTTTTTTTTTTTTTTCCTCCTTGGTTTTAGCTGAAGGACATTTTGGCTATTCAGGAGGAACTATCTATTCCTTTTGTTGCCAGTTAATGTCAACCCCTGCTCTGCGGTAATAAATAGGAAATGCTAATGATGACAGGGTTGTAAGGAGATCACAATGTTGTGTTTCACGGGTGTTTAGACACTCCTGTGTTTTTTTCAGTTCAGTGCATCAATTAGAATATTAACATGTGAATATTCACACACACACACACACACACACACACACAAATTGCACAGTTAAAAACTAATTTGATTTTTGCTGACCCGGTCCTTTGTTGACAATCTAGGCCTGGGTTCTTTGGACATAACAGGGTTGGGTTATGGGTTTTGACCTAGCGCTCTGCATTGGATTCTCCTTGCAGAAAATGGATTGAAGTGACAAATGTCTTATGTTAAAGCAACCAAAGTGTGGTTTGAAAGGAATTAACCCACAACCTTGATTACTAAACCACATCTAAATTAAACCAAGTGGCTTTCAACGATAATTTCTGCACTAAAATTGTTCATTAATAAGATTTTTATAGATGCAGCTGAATTTGTAAAAAAAAAAAAAAAAAGTGTATTCTGTTCAGAAATTACCTACCTGTAGCAATGACATAATCATATCTTTGATCAAAATTTTAAACATGGCTAGTGCCAACCTCCTAAGAGGTTTTTTTTTTTTTTTTTGAGCTAATATCTTTAAAACAAACCTCTGACATTAACATTATGATCAGCGCAGTATTTATTTATTTTTCTTAAATTTTCTTATTTCTTCCTGTGGAGATTTCTCGGTTCAAAATGGTGGAATTTGGGTAATGGTGAGGTTCCTTCTCGTCTTTTTTTCTAACAGAGTTACAGTTTTTTACACAATGTTTAGTTAAAAGCCTCTGGCCTGATTCTGTGCATGCACTGCGTTTTGTGAATGTGTTTTATGGGCTTAAGTCGAGTTTGTGGTGTAATTTCGCTGTCTGCCGCTTTATGGTTGTTCTGGAGGTGAAATATTTGCAAAGTTCATGACTATTTCCTGTGCTGCCTTAGAATATTTCCTTTGTAACAATTGGCACCGGATTTGACCACATTGTATTATTACTAGTGTTTAAATGGAATGTAATTGAATTTGACAAGCTGTCATCTGTCAATATAATTGGACTATTTTGCTTAAATTTGAATTGGATCTTGTTTGTCTTGTAAGGGGCCTTGAGATGGCATCTGCTGTGAGTTTGTGCTCTATAAATAAGCTGAAATGAATTGAGCATAATTAAAGCTAAACACAGTGAGATTCCTGCAACAAGTACTTGCAGGAGTTTGGAACAATACTGAAAGCAAAAAAAAAAAAAAAAAGTGTTTTAAGAGATCTTTATATACCAAATGATGGCAACCATTTTGGTTTAGCGCAGACGTCAGCGCACTGAAAATGTTATTGTGGCTCTGAGCAGAGCAAAAGACAACGAGAAGTTCCAGTCCATTTCTTTAGGTGGATTGGAATGGAAATGATGTGTCGCTACGATAGAGGGAGACACATTGAGATGAGGGAGTATTAGTACCATGATGAGGAAATGGAGGTGTTCTGTACCATTGGCTCTGATGGAAAGGGAACCATTACGGACATGTTTGTGTGTGGGTTTGAGTGTGCACCTCCAGGGTGTTTAAGCAAGTGAGCTAAAAGAAATACTGCGTGTGTGTGTGTGTGTGTTTCTGCACGTTCACGAGCATGTCAACCCCTCGTCTCTTGTTTTGATTTTTGTTGTGTGTTTTTTTTCTTCTTCGCAGGGCTACAAGAGGAAAACTGAGGCAGCTAAGAAAGAGTACCTGAAAGCGTTGGCCGCGTACCGAGCCAGTCTGGTTTCCAAGGTAACGCTTATGACACACAAGCCCTGGCTAAGACTGATGATGGATTGGATGGAAAATCCTTGCTAATGGGCTGGGGTGGGGGTGTAGGTGCTCCATGGTTTGAGACTGTGATGTTGAAGAAGTTGGAGTGGGAGGGGGCATGCAAAAATAGCAAGCTATATTTGGAACAATACCTGATTTCCATAGGATCCACAGGGAATTATAATATGCATTAAGAATGAAGTATGCAGTGTTTGGTAAGAAGGAAGAGGTCACAAAGAGAAAGCACATAAGCATGTGGCCATGTCATCGTTCAGGATTGCACGATTAAAAGTAATTGTTCTTTCATGTTCTATATATATATATATATATATACAGTGTATATCCTCATAAAATCTTATCTCACATCAGCAGACTAGTCATGCGTTAGATCATTGATTTCCTCATCTCATCATCTACAACAGGAAGTACATCACAAAACAACTCGGGCAATGATTGGCTTGCTGCTGCTTCCTTCTCTGACACCCTCTTGCTAATTCAGATCTATGACACACTCTTTGCCCAGTGAACGAAGCTGCGTCGTATACACCAGCAAAAAAAAAAAAAAAAGAGCACTGGGATAAAAAGAAGGAAAGCAGGATTGCATTGTTTAGTGCCGCCTTGTATTAACAGCACACACAATATAGTGAGGGGAAGATTCCTTTTGTCATTCCATTTGTTCTGCAGGCAAACAGCCTCATTTCTCTGCCCAGGATCCTGCATATATGTATGCGTGCACATGTGTAGGTGTGTGTGTGCATGTGTGTGCGCGTGTGTGTGCTCCTCTTCCTTTCCCATCTATCTGTCAAGGAGTCTATTGATCATTACCTCGGCCCTAGCTCTATTCATACAAATGGGCTCCATTACCTTCTAATCAACACTGATGGCTGGAGATGAGCAATCTGACAGCTCATCACTGAGGCCTGCAGAGAGACTGGAGGGGGTGGCGGGGGTGTTGCACCTGCTCACTGTCCTGAAAGCAAAAGGTCAAGTTTTCAGGAATTTGGTGGAGTTAAGCCTTCTCCCTTGAAGCAACGGAGTTCATTCTAGCCCTCTAATGGCTGGATTACAATCGTGAGCATGTGAAGTACACAAACCACTTAAAACGTCAGAATCGCGGATATCGAACAAGTATCACAACCGATTGTCTGATCTCTGGTGCCTGTGAAGCTTCGGTGTGCTGATGCTGATTTTAGTAGATTCAGATTTATCTTTAAACAACAGCATCAAAACTCTTTACTTTTTCTCACCTTCCTATTGTGAGTGTTCATTATATATTTTTTTATTATTTTAGGCAAAAAGTCATTGTTAAGCATGTTATTTCTAAAACTTTTATTTTTATTTTTAATTGGACTCTATGGGGCCACATCCTGCCCTTGGGATGTCCTCTGATGACCTTCATGAAGACTCTAAATAATGCATTCATAAATTGTCAATTTTGTTCCCAAATCCAAACAGGCTGCATTTATTTTTCAAAAATCACCTTTTATTTTGAAGGTGACACCTCTTGCTTCCTATGCAAGAACCCTTCTAGTGTCCTCAAGCAGGGAGTTATCATAAACATGCTCAGAAATGATAGAGATGCAAGTTAGTGTGAAAAAAATGTCAATTTATATTAAAATAATGTGGAGGTTTTGAGGTTGTTTTTTTTTAAGTGTGTAAGGCATTGACTCAAGATTAAAAGTTAAAGTAGTATTATAACGAGGTTATGTGAAACATTGTAAGATTTGTCCTCAGGAATTACAACTTTAAAACTTCAATATTCAGATGAAATAAACTGTGGCACATGAGACATTGCTTATGTCTGGTAATAATTTCTTTATAAGGGTCAATGGACAAAGTTTTGGCTGTGTGGATGCAAATGGCATAATATTTGACAAGTTTGTATATTTAGGGGTTATTTTTTGTTCTTTTTGCTAGTTTGTGTTCAAATCTCTTAAAATTTCATGAGCTGTTGTTTTCCACTGGGTGAAGGTATTATTTTTTTTTATCTACTGGGAAGCTACTGATTTATTTATACCGAATGGGGAGAGGGGAACAAATTGTGTGTGTTTTTTTCTAACAAAGGACAAAATTTAACCTCTAAAACAGGCATTTAACAGGCAGGAATTTTCTAATATCAGACAATTGCTGAATATCTGTTATGTTTATTGAGGATTGAAAGTAATAATATTTCTAAAATAAAATTGCAAAAAAAAAAAACAAAAAAAAAACTGTTATGGCATAAAACTACGACAATCTTTAAAAATGTATTTTTTGTCTCCCAGGGAAACGGATAAAGGACCCCCAAGTGTTACACAAAGTTATGAATATAATGATTCAGCAAAGAGAATCACATTTTATTGTTCAGTTGCAGAAGGCACTGTTGCCAGAACACTATATTATGTATATTTACCTTTTTTTTTCTTTTTTTTTTAATCAAATATATACTGGAAAAAAAATGTGTTCAGTCAATAGTCTGCCCTCTGATATTAGTTGTAGTTTCTTTGTATGTCCTCACTGAAAAGTTCATAATGGTTTCCAATTGGCTGCCACCATTTCTAAATTCAACATGTTTCATTGCTGAGAAAAGCTTGAAGCTCAGAAGCATGAAGCAGAGCAAGCTTCGTGTTTTTTTTTTTTTTGCGCATCTACACAAATACACATTTTTAGTTGAAAGCTGAATTTTCCACCTGATGATGGTTTTTCATTTGTCTCTGTCATCCCCTCCACTTTCTAGCACCTAAACTAATGTTTATTGTTTTATTCCGCAGACATACAATGATCCTGAACCAAAAAGTGCCCAGCAGACCAGCCAATCCTCTCACCTGCTGCCCCCCAAACAGCCCCTGTACAGCGTGCCCCCTCAGTCTTCTTCACCCTACCTGGGCCCCCCGGGCTCCTTCCCGCTCTCCGAGCTCCAGAGCTACGGTGGGCCCCCGCGCCACGCCCTGGGCCCGACCCTCAGCCAGTCCCAGATGCTCCCGCCCAGCATGAGTGCCTCTCCCCCAGCACCCTTCCAGATCAGCCCACCTCTGCACCCGCACGCCCAGCTCTCCTTGCATCTGAATCAGCCAATCCGCATGCAGCAGTCGCAGCCAATCATCTCACACCAAATGGGCCTCCAGGCGCCTCTGCATTCCCCTCCGCTCAGCCAACAGGTTGGTGCAGTCGTCAATAAAACTTTGTCCCGTTTATTGAATTTGTGTAATTACGTAGAGATTTTTGCTAATTACTGTTACACAAACATGTTTATTATGCCAAAAATTGGGAATATGCCGTCGAAATTTGATTGTCTTAATAATTTAGGCCAAACTAACTAATTATGTAACGGTCTCAGTCGATAAAATCTCCAGTCCAGGAGCAGATTGTGAGAACTATTTTAACCAAGCAATAAGAGCAAATGGAGGGAGGAAAATGGACATTTTCCTCTCAGCAGCAGCCGACATAGACCACTGACATCGTTTGGCCTCATAACAGATCATGGCTCAGCACACCCTGATGGCTGGCCATCGCAAACGCTTGGCTGGTATAACCTTTCCTCCTCCTCCTCTGCAGGGATTCTCCCATCTTCAGGCTGATTACCAGAACAGCGTCGGGGGCTCGCAGTCCCCAGGGGCACCCAATCCAGTGCATGGGCAGAACTCCGACTGGGATGGCGAGTACTGCAACAGGGAATGTGGACCCAACCACTGCGGGTAAGCTCATAACACCAGTTAACACATAGCACCAGGTTTTTTTTTTTTTTTTCCAAGATAAAATGCTCCGACTCTGCTGCACTTCATGACGTCTGGCTGTTGAGAATACTAAGCAGCTCTGTGAGAGCTCCTCATTTTCCAAGTGATCTACATTAAACCATTTCGCTTCACACTCTGACACTCAGACAGTGTTAATCATAAAAAGCAATTTACCTGCTAAAGAAAAGCATCTTCTTGAAATTGAAATGAGCAACGCAGCACAAGTACAATGCTATTACCGAGCTCGGAAAAAGTGCCGGCATCCAATTATGTGTCGCTCCACATACATTGCTTTATTGAATAAAGTGAATATTTTTCAGACAGTCACCAAGTAAAAATTTTGTGTCACGTTTAAAAAAAATATTGTGTCGCTACTTTGGACTTTGAAGAGGACATGCAGACGCAAACAAATTTGTTGCCATTTCTGGTAAAGATGTGTCCGCAAAAATTTTTAAAGATCTCCAAACTCATTGTTGAAAGACTGCAGCGAAGAATGGCATCTTGCTGCTGTGTTCTACTGGATTTATATTATAAATCTTTTGTTATATTAAACCAGTGGTTCTTAACCTGGGTTCGATCGAACCCCAGGGGTTCTGTGTAAAGCCGTGATGACTTTCCCCGCTTTGCCATCACTTGCTCCAGAGGATCACGTTGCATTGGTTGGCCAATCAGTGCTGCGGAGGAGCACTGATTGAATGGTAAATGGTAAATGGACTGAACTTTTATAGCGCTTTTTCTCATCATGTTGACCACTCAAAGCGCTTTACAGTAGAGTAACATTCACCCATTCGCACTCACAAAAGCTCACACATTTATACACCGATACGCAGATCGGTAGGCAATTTGAAGGAGATCCACTCTACGCATGGATTTGGACTTGTGTCTTTATTTATTTCAGCAAAGCTCACAGTTTTTACCAAATTCTGTAGCTTTCGGTGTACTTCTAAATCTGCTCCTCCGTCGCATCTTTTCGGGGTTGCTACTGCCTCTAGTGGCGTGGGGGTGGTAACACAACTAATATAATTACATTACTAAATCAGAATACCGCTAAGTCTTTATTTATTATTAATTTTTCATTCTCTTAAGAATGTAGAGCTAATTAAATGATCTAAACAAAACCTTAAAGTGGTTCCAGTTTCTCTCGATGGCCAGCCTGTTGAAACTGTGCCAAATTTTAAATACCTTGGGTCGTTCCTGGACAGTCAGCTCAACTGTGCTGAAAACACTGACTATATTTTGAAGAACTGTTCTCAGAGACTCTACCTTTTAAGAAGACTT